CTTTCCTTGCCAGCAGAAGCAGTCCATGTGCTAAGGCTGTTCACACCTTGCTTGAATACACTGAAGCTATTTTCAGGGAATGTTAACTCATGTACCACTTCTACCTGCGCTTACTGCTTCCAGACAAAATAACTATAGAGTCAGATGAGAGATGTGAGAGTATTCTCCAAGGATACAAATATAAAGTCTAAATTGGAAGGAGATAAGAATTGCAAGATTTTGATAATTTATGTTAGAAATCTGGAGAATGTATGGGCATGTACTGAAGATGCTTTACCATGGAGAAAGACAATTTTAGATTAGGCCAAATATATCAAAATCTGCACTTCCCATATAGATTTAATTACTGACTTGCCTAATTGGAAGTGGTCCAGTTGACTCAGTCAGTTGACTGAAGCCAAGGCTTAACATTAGCTCGTATTAAATGCATTTGAGGTGGCAGCTATTCCTTGGTATGATGTAGAAGAAATGCTCCAAAGATTTAAGGAGACAGGAACACTGGCATAAACTTGTGACACACAGCCTGCTTATCTGCATCCTAACCATGTCCCAAATATAGCCAAGAGGGCACTCTTTTCCCCAAGGCACTGAAAATTACATTAACGACAGAAACATTAGTATTCTGGAAACATGGTACAGTGCCTGCCTTCTATAGAGCATATGCTGCCATTACACAAATTTACTGTTTTTTGATGAGAACAATGGAACCTAGAATGGCAAAGACTAAGTGTTAACATATAATAACCAGAGATGGGGTAAGTATAGTTAATACAATAGGAGTGTGGCCAGAGAAGTAATCTGTATGTTTTGACTTACAAAGAACTTTGGTAGTGGTTTAACGTTCTTTATGCCCCTTAGATCAAAATAAATGAGCAGCATACTAATTCTTGATTTATATAGTCAAAATATTGCCATCTGGTGAACTGAGACCTACTTTGAATAATCATAATGTAGATTTATGGTTGCTCACAGTTTTATATTGAATCCATCTCAGTGGGTCCATCAATCTGTAAATACATGATCTGGTAATTTCTTAGTTCATAAATGAATGCATAATTGAAATAGTTACAACCAGCAAACGACAGATATACCACATTTGCCCCCTGACTAGTGTAGTAAGGGCTATTTATAGTAGGAAAGTTTAGAATTCACTGTATGTATTTATGTGGAAGCTAGGGTGATTTCTATCACATCTTCATTTAACTTACCCATTCAGCTTGTGCAAAAGGTAGATAGGTCTTGGAGAATGATAGTCAGTTGTCAAAAGTTACTCATCAATCCCAAAAAGGATTTTTAAAAAGCTAGATAGATCGTAAGGAACTGCAGAACCATGGAAAGATTAGGATTTTTAAAAAAGCCATAAAGAAAAGACACTGCCTTCAAAAGAAGACATGAATCAGGAATTAGAAAATCTATTTCTTAATGGGATGGGGACAGATGCAGTTCTGGTGACAGAAATGAAAACTAGAGCAAAATATGAGCTATAGGCTTCTTCCAGTGATTATATGCCTAGGAATGTAGCTACTGGAACACTCTGCCTTGCCTCGAGGGAACCAGTGCTATGGAACCTCCAGTGTCACATGTTATTAGTCTGCTTTAAGCCAAAGAAACAGATTCCAGCTAATAAAAGCAGACTTTACTGAACAGTTTTGCACACAGAACTAAAAAGTGCTCCTGAAAGGGGCAGGGGGATAAAGCCTGGGCATTCAAAAGCAGTGTAATTTCTACCTCAGAAGCAGTGTTGATGTGAAGATGCCATAATTTTCAACAGAATGTACTGAATTCTCTTCCTTCTGGTTTGAGAAATTACAGATAGACGGGGCTGATTATTCCTTCATCACACGGCTGTGAGGTACAGGACTGATCAGAGGCTGGTTAGGGTCAGGCAGAGGATAGGTAAAAGCATGGCATGAGGGAGTTCTTTTTGGGCGATGTACTATGCTATATTCTAATTATGATGGTGACAGGTATACCTGTATTTAAAGTGTAAACTAAGAAGTTAATTTATATGTATATATTTATATATAAGAATCAGTTTACTTCCCCCTGTATCCTCTACCAGTTTTCTATAAGGTCAGGTGATGACAGTTTACTTAAAAATTTAACCCAAACATAGCATGTCAAGATGGGATTGGGCCTGAATCCGGAGGAGTGAACATCAGCTGTGGATAGATTCACATTACTGACAAACTTTGATCTTCTCTTAGGAGATAATGGTGTACTTTTGTTTATAGGATGGAGATTTGTGTTAGGACAGCCAGGAGCAAGCCAATATTGCTATTAGCTTTATTTAGAAGACAAAGGTGTATTGCATGGAGAAAGAGCTGAATGACATACATAATGACCTAGACTGGTGTTTGTGGTGGGTAGAATCTGATGCTAGGGAATACCATGCCCCACCATTCCCATCTCCTGATGTTTACGCCTTTCTGTACTTCTTTTCTTTTGTGTATGGGCATGACCATCACTTGCTTTTTTTTTAAACAACAGAACTCGGTGAGGGACTGAGGTGCCACTATTGTGACTATATTATTTTTTTATAAGACACTCTTGCTGATAGACTCACGCTAGACTCTCTTTGCTGGCTTGATGAAGTGGTCACTTTGGAGAAGGCCACAAGGCAAAGAACTGTGGATAGTCTACAGAAGCTGAGGGCAGCTGCTAAGAACCAAGGGACACTTTCAGGAGGTGAGAGCAGCCTCCAATCAACTACCGAAAGAAGCTGGTGACTCTACACCTATAATTATAAGAAAATGAATTTTTCTTGAGTGAGCTTGGAATAGGACTTTTTCCCAATTGAGCCTCTATATGGGAACCATCCTGGTTGACATGTTGGTTGTAGCCTCGTGAAATCCTAGCCAAAGTCCCTAGCTAAACTGAGCCTATAGTCCTGACCCATTGAAATGATAAAGTAATATATATTTTGCTAATTCTTTATACAACAATAAAAACCCCACATAGAGTGGTCAGGGTTGATTCTACCCTCTTATAGTGCTTTCTTATAGTGGAGAGTCTAAAAAGGTAAAAGCACATTTCCCAGATTCCTTTGCAACTATAATTCTAGGCCAGTGATGGCAAACATTTTAGAGACCAAGTGCCCAAACTGCAACCCCAAACCCACTTATGTATTGCAAAGTGCCAATACTGCAATTAAACCTGAATACTAAAGCTTTAGTTTAGAAACAACTCACACACTAACATCTTTTATCTTAAAAGAAAAACACAATAACAGAGCTTTCAATGATACAAATAGCTTTTTATTAAGAGGTAAAAATTTGTATTTGGCATACTTTTGAACAGTTACTATGATCTTTGCTGTCGTGTGCATGCTGATAATTTGTCAAACCTTGGCTGGGGCAACTTGGCTCTTGTGCTGACAGAGAGGGCTCTGCGTGCCCACTGTGGCCCGCATGCCATAGGTTTGCCACCACTGCTCTAGGCCAATGAGAAGCATACACATGAGACTTCAGAGGCAGAAGTGAGGTGGAGCTATGCTTCTGCCACCTCTGCTGGTAGACATGGCTGTGAAGATGTCTGGCTGCCCTTCTGTAATGTAGTCACAAGCTTATGAGCGCTGAGAGGCAGGGAGCATGGACTCTAATTTGCTGGTGTAAATCACAGTGGGTGAGCATGGCTCCAGAGGTAGCAGCAGTAGTGCTGGCTTTTCCTTCTCATAGAAGGAAGTAGCAGTTTTCTAATCTTAGAAGAGTTAGCAACTCCTTGGGTGACCGGGTAGTGTTATGCCTTTGGGATGTGTTCTTAAAAGCTCAATTCAGATAGCCTTGATAATTATGTAAGTCATTTAATGCCCAGTATTAATCTTTTCCTACCTAATCTAAGTAAGTATAAATTCTTTTCTTTGCAACTGAATCATAATTGAAACAGAAGGAAAGTCCTTAAGTGATATCTGGTTAAGTGTAAATAAAACACATCATAGTAAATAATATTAATCTCTTTAAGCAAATCATTTTCATGTTTAATATGAGATTTAAAATATTTATTCTTATAAAGAGAAATAAAACCACTTTATTACATTTAATGTATAAGGTATAATGCACTGGTTCAGTATGACACAACTACATAAGATTTTTAATATTTAGAACAACTCATCTGCTTAACAAAGTAGCAGCTGTAAAACTATATATTCAGCTTGTTTCTCCTGTAGACTCAGAAAATAAATTTTTCTTTTTAACTTGTCATTACAATCTTTTTGCAACTCAAAAATCCCTTTAGTATTCAATTTTACTCAATCTAGGTTAAAACACAATACTCAGTAATCTTCATCATCTTGACTTTAAAATAATGTAAAGTATTAATAATATATGCTCTTAAAAAGTATTCTTTGTAAATCCAACTGACAAAATATTCAACATAATGTCTTTGTGCATAAGCATTGACCGCATATCTTTCTAGAACTATTGTAGCATATTTAATTTAACAATCACTGTATAATAGCAGATGTATGACAACTTTAATACAAACTATTATCTAAGCTTTTAAAATTTGGATATATTTCAGCAAATCATTTCCAAATAAAGGCATAGATCTTACCAAATATCTCCTTAAGTGGTAATTTCCTTGAAAAGACAAGGTGATCAAATTATCTTAAAGACACGAGTAGTAAAGGGTTTGGTCAAACCCAATGTATGAATTTTCAAAGGCTCAATATGAAACTTCTTTAAGTTTTCTGAACATATTGTATGGTGACAAGCATCTCTGTGTTTGGCTTTGTTCACAGTGGACTCTTGCCTTAAGGCTCACTATTACCAACTCCTGCTTAGAAAAGATGACATCTTGGGTCATTCAGGGGGGTCTGCCCTTTCACTGTTACATATCTAGAAAACTCAAAGGACTTAAAGCCAAAGGTTTTTTTTTTTTTTTT